TCTTTTTAACTATCACATTTAGTTAAATTAATTGTGAAAGAGGTAATAATCGACTGACACAAATAATGGATCAACTGATTGCAAATATTTCATGCATATTTAAGACGAGAACATATTTACAATAAATACAATATGTTGATCTATCTCTCCCTACACAAGGCTTCGGATTTAACATACCCATTCTGACCTTACGTGGCTGCATACTTTACACCCCGCACAGTAGAACGGACGCCCCACTTTGGCAAGGGTTTTACTGTCGGTCGGAAGAAGACCTAAGTGACCATATTTCTATTCTCTAGTCTTACTTGGGGATAGGACAATAGATGAAAGAGTAAAAGGAGTATACGTCATTGAAAGAGCAATAACCAAATTTGTTATTGAACAACATTATATATTTAATATTGGTGGACATGTTATTGCAATTAAAGGCAAACAATTAACTTATAATAACTAAATGGGCATTTAAAAACATGAACAAGATTGAGCGTTCACATAAAGGAGACGTTTAGGCTTTATATGGACACGTTTGGGCGTTCTTAAAAAAATGGACACAATAGGGCGTTCTTAAAAAGGACACGTTTTGGCGCCCTTTAGCACCTATACATGTTTTGCAGTTCGGTGACGTTATGTGGACACGTTTGGGAGAATCAGACACGTTTGGGGGGATGGACACGTTTCTGAGTGTTACTTATATAATATGAATAATAAAATTAAAGACATCCTAATTTCCATTGTTTTATTATGTATTAATTTTATATAAATTCCTAAGGAAATAGAGATTCTCAACACCTACAATGGTACCTACAAGTCTAGTAATATATATGTTGTTTGTATTATATAATGAATGCTCACGTTCAATTTGTATTGTTATATATATGGTACTGTGGAGAAGACTTTATACGTATGTTTTACTTGTGTCTGAAAATACGAACAATTATGATTTTTATTAAGACTTAAATGTAATATTATTTTTTAATTGAAAGTATGTAATGATAAAGTTGAGATTCAAGATACATAATTATATATACATATATAAATATATATATTATGTTGGTATTTAATCATTACGGTAATTCGTGTATCTCCAGAAACAAATAAGTGGATCAAGTTCGAAAAGCTTTATTCAGTTCTTAAACACCTTATCGCTATTTGGAAATCTGTCCCTCTTGACCCGAGAATCTGTCCCGCTTGAACTTTGACGTCATACAACAATCACTTTTCCATTGTGGCGTCAGATATTTTTTTATTATGACGTCAAAACTTTACGGGAACTTTTGTGATGTCCAGTAATGGCGGACAAATAGCGATAAGGTGTATTAGAGTATAAAAAAACTAGTAAAACATTCCTTTTACATTTGCAGATAAACTGTCGGATCTGGTAGAACCTATTTTGATGTACTCATCAGAAATTTGGGATTTAAAAGAAGATGAATATTGAGAAGAAGCATTTATATATATTTTTGCAAGAAATTCTGTCATGTACAAGGAATCTTTATTTAAACTTTCTGAATCTCAATGGACTCAGTTCACATAAAAATTGTTTTCCAATATCGAAAAGTCATCACGGGAGAAATATCATTCCAAATCTGAGACCAACTTCTGTATTAACCCGACATACTTAAACTTAGATTGTTAGAAAATTTAATTTACGTTATATTTGTAAAATTGCACTTGTAACACAATTTCTCCAATCGAGACTTAAGATGGATTAAAATTCCGGAAAAGAAAAAAAAATGGCCAGCTTTGTAGGACTTGCCTTGGGATGCTATATGAATATCACAAACAAAAATAATTGCAAAACCAAACCTTCAACCATTAAAACGATTGGCCAGGTTTCGTAAATATATAATGCCTTAATATGCACGACACTGTATCTTTAAGAACCGGTGGCGCCTGTTTTGCAATTCAAAGTGTTAATTGGTGCATCACTCACTTAGATTTATTGTTAAAGCTTGATTCCAGAATTTTATTCATCCAGAATCTGACATATATACAGACAGCGTTTAATCGTTATCGCCTATGTTGAGCTTTAGATGGCTTCAAATATTTTGAATCAAAGTACAGTCCATTCAAACGTTTCATATATGCACAGACTACTCGTACTTGATACATACGACACAATTTCGAATATATTAAAATATTTATTAAGCACGGGGAAAATTTTTTTAATGAACTTATTTTGAGATAAATTTGGAGTGACTCTTAAGAAAATTGACATGTTTTATGGTAAATTATAATATTATTCCCGAGATAACAGTGACGCGCGCATCGGATGCGCCCCAGTTGAATTTGTCTCTGTTGATAAGCTTGTTCATATATAGTTCATATAATTTCAAAAGCGAATGTCTCGTTAAATTGAATAATATATTAGAGCAACATAACGCCCTAATTAGTATTTAGATTAAAAAAATGAAAAATACCCTAAATTACATTGACTGTAAGTTTTTTTTTTTTTTTATTCTTTTAATAAATAGCATAAACACCATTTAACGCTTTTTATATTAATTAGTGACATTTGATTTTTGAAACAGTTAAACGCCGATATGTATTGATTCGTTTCAATAAATACAAACAATTCATAAGTATCCATCCGGTTATATTTTGTTTTCACTCTAAAGAGCCGATATGTATTAAAATGTATTTCATTGTGTCATTGAAAACAAACAATCATGCAACACATATTATTTTCAAATATTCAATATATTCAGCACTAACAAGTGTTTTGGTTAAAAAATATCTTAATGATTAGTAGGCCTTTAAAAACATATTAACATGTACAGTAAGTATGCTATTGCAAACAGAAAAAATATTTATATAAACATTCATCGATTGTTTTCTATCTTCTATAGGGGCATACGAAAGGGCGTAATGCGTTTCCGCTAATTTTTCAAACTTCCAAAACTACGTTTCCGGAAACTTAAAGTATACGTTTCCAGAATTTGTATTTATTACTTTTCCGGAAATTTATCTGGTAGTAAATTATAAGTATCTGAATATATGTAAGATAAATTATTCTTTTTATATTTTTATACAAAATCTTTTAATACATCGTAATTTAAGCGGTTCTACTACTTAAAGGTTTCCTGGCTCCAACAATTTTTTTGACCGAGCAGTAATTAATTTTCCTTGCATTGCATCAATTATCTTTTTCAGTTTACCAATCCCAAGAACCATTAGCACCCAAATCAAATTTCAATTTATGTAATACAGAATAATGGCAACACAGATACCAAAAATAGAGAAAATGGATCAAATTTATAAAGAAACAAGGATGTGTCCATAGTACACGGATGCCCAAATCGCACTTTTATTTTCTATGTTCAGTGGACCTTGAAATTTTAGTTAAAATTCTAATTTGGCATTAAATTAAAAAGATCATATTACAAAGAACATGTGTACTAAGTTTCACGTCGATTGTACATCAACTTCATCAAAAACTACCTTGACCAAAAACTTAAACATGAACCGAGATAGACGGACGGACGCAAACGTCAGACCAAAAAAACATAAATATTTAACTCATTTTTATTTAGAGTTTGCTTTCGTTCAACAGGTATTCCTTAATTATTTTCTCTGAAAAGTAATAATTTATTTTTTTCCGGAATCGTTACTATTTTCCTGGAAAAGTAAGGTATTTATTTCCGGAAAAGTATACTTTTTTTCGCGGAAACGTCATCTTTTTTCCCCGGAAAAGTAATGCCAATTTTGCGGAAAAGTAAAACGCCGATACGAACGGCAGTTATCAAATAAAGGTAGGCAATATCGTGGTCAAAGGCGTCAACATAACACACAGAAAGTCAACGGTTAAAAAATATAATAATATAGAGGAAAACAAACACACAGAAAACGAAACAAAATGTGACATGAATCTTATGAAGAACTAGGGTGAGCGGGTGCTCTGGTAAAGTTATCAGTTCCTGCTCCATAAACGTCATCATCCATATTACTCCTTCTTAGATATGTTGACGTATGAGAATTATGCATCTTCTAAAGTATTGCCCAACATATGTTGTGATGTTATACTATTGTTTTAGATAAGGTTGAAGGTTTGGTACCATTAAAACGTTTAAACCCGCTGCAATTGTTCGCATCTGTCCTAAGTCAGGAATCTGATGTTCAGTAGTTGTCGTTTGTTGATGTGGTTCATAAGTGTTTCTCGTTTCTCGTTTGTTTTTTTTTTATATAGATTAGACCGTTGGTTTTCCCGTTTGAATGGTTTTACACTAGTCTTTTTTGGAGCCCTTTATAGCTTGCTGTTCGGTGCGAGCCCAGGCTCCGTGTTGAAGACCGTACTTTGACCTATAATGGAGATTAATAAATTGTGACTTGGATGGAGAGTTGTCTCATTAGCACTCATACCACATCTTCTTATATCTATTTCGGAAAATGCTTACCTTTCGTCCAAACATTTATTGAACAGTGAAAGGACTCATTTGTGACGCTCGAATATAAAAATGTTAAAAAGGTCAAATAAAGATCGGAGTTGGAGAGAATTGAAGACCCATAATTACGAAAGGGTTTGGCAAATACAACTTAGATTTTTCAAAATGTACGTCAATGTGTTGTTTTATACAACAAGTAAATCAGCGAAGCATTAATGATGATTCAAAATATTTTCCCCCATAACCTAAACACATTAATATCCATTACCTACACATGCATGGTATATTTGTCAATGAACGTTTGGTATACAGTAATCAAGTATTACTTACACACGTTACAGTATGACATACTAAGTTACAAATTGCTTTGTAAAATAGTTCCGGATTGAATATTCTGGCCTTAAATCAATATACCGAGACATTATTGTTTAAACAACGGTACAAATATTGTTATAATGCAGTATTTATCCAATTCAATAAATATTTTAAAAAGTGCACCCTTTCTTTTGTTATCCAGTATATCGTGAAATTTGAACGGATCAAATCTCTCTGTAAACCTAAGCAGAATATGTTATATCAGTCGAGAAACCTGCGCAGAAATTTAGATTGAGATTGTTTTCAAAATGGACGACGTCGATTCATTTGAAAGAGAGTTACACAAAGCAGTAAATTCAAAAAGAATTGAAACTCTTCTATCATTATGTGACAATCCAACAAAGAAGACTGTTGTTTTAGAATTCAAAGGATCTTATGATAAAAAAGAATTAATTCATTATGCTGCAGAATTTGGATCTGTTGATCTATTAATAATGTTGGTAGGTTTAGGTGCCAATGTACAGAAAACAACAGGTTCTGGCAAGAACACTTTACATATTGCATGTGAAAAAGGTAATGAGAAAATGGTTGATTATTTACTGCAAACCGTTAGTGACAGTTCATTCAAATCAGCATTTACAATGGACTTTGACAAAAAAGTTTACAAAAATTCATTTTACTATGCGGCTATATCTGGTAATAGCAATATTATTAATTGTTTAAAAAAAAATGGGGGTTTAGATATAGACGAGGTTTTACCAAATAAAAGTACAGCTTTATTTACACTTGTAAAGAAGAACCAATTTGAAGCAGCACACATATTGTGTCAATGTGGAGCAGACGTAAATCTTGGATTTCATGGACGACATCTTCGACCCATTCATTTTTCAGCCGAGAGAGAAACCCACACAGAAATGATAAAACTTCTGCTTAAATATGGAGCCAATGTGAATGAACACTGGGGAGATCCACCTTATGGTCACCAGCCTCTATTTTTTGCTCTTAAACACAAGCTTAAAGAAAATGCAAAAATCCTATTGGAAAAGGGTGCTAATGTTTCATTTAAAGGTCGAATTACCAAAATTGGTTGGATAGATTGTTTCTGCTTGGCTGCAATGAACTGTCCATCTTTAATACCCGACTTTCTGAATCATGGAGCAAACCCAGACACTGAGAACGACGGCAATTCAGTTTTGATGATTGCATTTGAGAACCATGCCAAGAGAAATGACCTTATAGCTTTGATAAAGGCTGGCGCAAGAAAAGGAAGAGATGGTAAAACTGCAATACAGTGCTGCAAATCTTACAGTAAGTAAAATGTATTATATCACAAATCATATTTGCTGAATTAAATTATTACTTCTAGTTAGTCTATTTTTATTCGTACTGTCATCTGATGAAGTCTCGCAGTGATTTAGATGGACAGTTTTCTCTGCTTGCAATAAGTCTCTGTTCTACTTGCATAGATTTGTACTATTCTACTATTTCATAGTGGAGCAGAAATCCCTTATATCCTTCTAAAAAAACCTAGATTTGTGTATTGTTTTATGTTTGGATGCTTATTTACAACTTGCTACCCCTAAGTTTCAAGAAAGTGCGGATGTAAGACTATGGATTTGTCAGTCATAATGCTCAAACTTGTTCATTTTATTGCACCTTTAGCACAGTAATCACTGAGTTCGTTTACAGTAGTTGCTTTTGTTCTTTTTCCCGTAATCATTTTTCAATGTTACACCCAGATGTTGTTACGTGCTACAGATTTTCACTGAACAAAACTATGCTTTGGATATTTGTAGTCTAATATCTTTGTTGTTTATTTGCATCAAGCTGTGAAAAGAAAGTCATGTTAATCATGTATAAGTTACAAACACATTGTTGTTGGGAAAAATGTAAACCTAACCTAAAAATTTAATTTAAATTTTGAAGTAATATAGTCGAGGCTATAACATTATGTACAACATTGCGTCTAAAATCGGTATATTATTTATCGTTTTTGTAACGCTGAAATTAAATCTGACATTATATTCAGATAAAAGAGGGCATTTTCTTTCTTATAGTCGACAAAGCTTTTGTATTCATACACTAGAATATATGTATAAATGCGTTGATAAGATACTATGTTATAGAATGTATAATAATCACGCAACATTTTCCTCAGTTTCATGTCCATTCGAAACTACGTTTATCTCAACTTACTGTATTTACTTCTAATATTAAAAGAAACATAATATATAGATAAATGTTGTAAATTGTGTTTCGTATGATTTCCCTGCATTTTGACGTAATAACGCAGGTAACGTTCCTGTTTACTTTATTCTAATTCATTGTGCATACAAGTCTATTAATTCCGTTTAACTTAAAACACAGTTCGGTTTATGTGCTAACACGCTGGAGGGTTATTCATGATACCTAGATGGGAAGAAGTAAGCATACAATTTGAAACAGTCAGTAATGGAGTAGGTCATCCAGAAATCATTTTTCAAATTATTTTATTCCCCAACGTACTCAAAATGGAAAATCATTAAGGAGGATAAAACATAACAGTTTGGATACTTCTTTTAGGGTAAAGAATAGATTGTCATTTATATAAATACATCTTTTAATTAGTTTACTACTGATATTTGATGTTAGATACAACTGGATACTTCTGTTTTAAACTCTAGTTGACGAATAAAACAGAAACAAAATTGAGCTAAACTCTATATCAGATATTATGATACGTGTAAATTACGGTTACAAAACGTATGACAGCATCGATATGAAAACTCAAATTTATTTTACAAAATATACACAATATACTTAAAATGTTTAGTAAACCAATTGAAAATGAAGGAAACGATCATTACTTGTCTAAAATCGAATTCGAAGATAGGTCAACGATAATAAAAAAAATGTTATTTATAATCTCATTTCAGATCAGCTATATTTATTCATACAGGCTGGTATTTCCGTGGATGAAATTGAGTCAAGACATGGCGTATCAACTTTAGACAAACTTTTAAGAACAAAGTTTCCGTGTTCTCAACAAGTCAAAATTCAAAACGAGGTTTTAAAGTTACTTTCGGTTGGTGCAAGTTCTAATCTGGCTCAAGAGGGAGAAGATTCGCCTTTGATTTTAGCGATTAAACTCAATTTGTTTGAAGTTGCAGACAAATTAATTGAAGCAGGTGCAAATGTGAACCATGTGGGAGAGAACGAGACCAATTCTGCTCGCTCATGTTGTGTTTCGGGTCCGTATATTTTCTTTTCTGTTTGTAGATATGCACTGGTCAATATTTTACGAAAAGCACACACAAAAATGTTGAATCAGGCGTCTTAAATTAGATTGTGTAGCTCTTTTTTATTTAATATTTTACCTTCATACAGTAAATTTGTGGGCACACATTTAAAGCAAATGAGACATGAAATTTATGATAGAGATTTTGAAATATATAAGTTAAATAGTAGTTTTTTTTCTTCAAGTTCTTGTGTCCAATTACATAGATGTGCATTGATAATTGATAAAAAGAAATGATATAAGCACGCCTTTATGCTTTACTTATCTACATGAACATTTCTAAACAGTTGTTTTTCTTATCTCTTGAGCGGACATCGGGTGTGACGTAACAAGACGTTGAATTCGTATACTAATTTATCTATTCTTACCATTTCATGAAGGACAGGAGTAACACGTGATAAACTTACCTTTCCATTTTCTGTCTTTATCAAGAAAAATACATGTTACTCAACAATTACATTGTGTCGTCTTTTGGGGAGTTTTACACCTTTGGTTTTTAAGAAATTCGCATTTGACGTGTTTTAAGAGTAAAACATTATAAAAATGAAAGAAAAACGTATAGCGAGTAAACGCTAATAATTCATATGGTAATAATGTATAAATATATGTAGTACATACATGATTGCCAATGATATAACAGTCCAAATGAGTCCAATTAACGCAGATTCAATTAAGTAATTATATTAAGATTCTTTAAGATTGCTCAAACCCATGCCAGATAAACAGCTACAATTCAAACGGAAAAAACAACGTCCTGGGGCCGTGTCATCGAAAGTGTCCTAAGATTTGTCTTAAGATATATCTTAGGACAAATTATAGGACAGTCTTAGGACTGTCTTATGATATATCTCAGACTGTACATCGAAGGTATCCTACGATAATCTTAGCTGCTCAATTCAGTAGCAATATAACTAAAAAGTCTTATTTTACTAGAAATTACGATGATCTGAATTGTAAATCTATAAATGTCGTCTACGGATTAGAGGGTAACCTTTGCGGATTGGTTTACGTCGGTAAAATGAAAGGAAGGCTAAACAAACGTATGTGCGATCATAGATCAGATATCAAAAGGTCCAAAATATCGTGAGCCTAAATCGATCAATTGGAAATACAACTTCAAAATACTGATGGATTCAGACGAGGATTATGCCAGGCAATGGGCTAAACGCGAGAAAGACAACGTAGATACTCTTTTCGAATGGATTAAGGCTGTGAGGTCGTTGATACAAATCCGAATTAAGAAATTAAATGGGTCTATCAATACCCACGCTACGTCAATTTTTAAAGACCCAAATGTTGCAAAACACTTGCCCTACCTCCATGACAAATATGTTGTTGTCCCCGCAGATAAAGCCCCAAACAACATCGTTTTTGTGTGTAAATATCACTACATAAACTGCTTGATAAATGAATTAGGTATTTACAATTCATTTGGAAAGTCAACATATACCCTCACGACACTTATCAAAGAGGAAATCCTGGATAATCATAGGTCTGTTCTATGTTCCTTTGGAATTTCAACCAAAGATGAAGAACTGGATCTTCCTTCACTGTATTGGATACCTAAACTACATAAGTGTCTTTACAAACAACGGTATATTGCTGGGTCTTCCAAGTGCTCCACGAAACCTCTTTTTGTAAATTATTAACATCTATTTTATCAGCAATTAAAACCGGGCTCTAAAGTTATTGTGAAACTGCCTATTCTAGAGGTGGCGTGAATCAGATGTGGATACTAAAAACTTCCAGAGATCTTTTAGAGTACAAACAATCTAAGACTCTCTCATCTTGCAATAGTATTAAAACATTTGACTTTTCTACACTTTACACACGCATTCCCCATTCCAAACTAAAAGACAAATTGAAAGAGTTGGTATTACTTTGTTACATTCAAAAGAATGGCGAACGTAGATACAAGTATCTTGTCTTGGGGAGGGATAACTCCTACTTTGTAAAGAATCACTATGATTCAAACAAAAAATTCTCTGAAACTGACATTTTCAAGATGCTTGTTTCTTGATTGACAACATATTTGTTACGTTTGGAGGACGTGTTTTTCAACAGACTGTCGGAATTCCCATGGGAACCAATTGTGCCCTCTTCTTGCCGACTTGTTTCTTTATTATTATGAGGCTGACTTCATACAGGAACTTCTTAGGAAGAAAGATAAGCAGTTAGTAATATCCTTTAACTTTACGTTCCGCTATACAGATGATGTTCTCTCACTAAATAATACAAAATTTGGTGACTGTGTCGAACGTATCTATCCCATCGAACTAGAGATAAAGGATACTACAGATACAGTTAAGTCTGCCTCATATCTTGACTTACATCTAGAAATTGACATTGAGGGTCGGTTGAAAACAAAACTTTACGACAAAAAAGTTGATTTCAGCTTCCCAATTGTGAACTTTCCATTTTTATGTAGCAACATTCCAGCAGCGCCTGCATACGGAGTATATCTCCCCATTGATACGATATTCCCGGGCTTGTATTTCCTATCATGATTTCCTTGATAGAGGATTGCTGCTCACAAGGAAGCTATTAAACCAAGAGTTCCAAATGGTGAAGTTGAAATCATCCCATCGTAAATTTTACGGACGCCATCACGAGTTGGTTGACCGTTATGGAATAACCGGTTCACAGATGATATCGCATATGTTCCTTATGTCGTAACTACAATACCCTTCCCTTTTCACGAATGTGACCTACCGAATTAGACTATTTACCGGATTTGTAATAACATAAGCAACACGACGGGTGCCACATGTGGAGCAGGATCTGCTTACTCTTCCGGAACATCTGAGATCACCCCAGTTTTTGGTTGGGTTCGTGTTGCTTAGTCTTTAGTTTTCTATGTTGTGTCATCTGTACTATTATTTGTCTGTTTGTCTTTTTATTTTTGGCCATGGCGTTGTCAGTTTGTTTTCGATCTATGAGTTTGACTGTCCCTCTGGTATCTTTCGTCCCTCTTTTCTTATATCTATGTAAAAGTCAGATTTAAATGGCTAGACTCATCAGATCGACAGGAACCAAAAACAAAAAATTATAAAAACAAAACAACTACAGTTACATATAAACAAAAATATAAAATTAATAAGATATATAAAATGGTCTTGCCCTTGAAAATTTACTTGGAAATTGGTTAATATCGTATATTACCTCATTATACGACATTTTCAATCACGCCGTTTGAGTGGCTACTATCTGGCATTGAAATCGTTTTAGAAAAATACAAAAATAACTTTTAAAACTTAACTGTATTAAACTTGTTCATTAATGTTTTTGTAGGATTGTCTGCCAATAAAAATGCTACCATGAAAGCGATGATTGAAAGAGGCTTGCTTCTTAATTACCAACATCCATGTGGTAACCATCTAATCGATCTTATAGCTGAAGCAGATTTTGACAGTTCCGTGCTGATATTAATGATTGAAAAGGGTGCAGATCTAAATCTGGTAAAAGACGGGAATGATAGCATACTGATGAAAGTCGTCAAACAAAAACGTTATCAAGTATGTTGTGCTATAATAGAAGGAGGGGCTGATGTTTCATACAGAAATGCAAAAGGAGAGACTGCTTTTGACATTTATGGTGGTAAGATTTCAAGCTTAGCGTTTCATAAATGTGAAAACATACATGCTGTTATAAGTAATTCATTCAAATGCATAATAAAGATGTGTTTTATTTTCTTAACCTGCTCTTGAGAAGGAAACGTTACCCTGAAATCGTTAGAACGTTGTAATCTTGGTAGAAATTTGTACCATATATATTTGAAGACTATTTGAAAAAAAAACTATAAACGCTGTAGACACTTCAAAAGACTATCTTCTTTGTTATTTACAGATTTGTTTCTGGAATCAAAGACAGAAAATTGCAAACATGAAGAATCAGACATAAATTGTATGTATAATAGTTTGTAAACAAAGGTACTTAAAATGATTAAAAAGAACAGATTAAGATGGTCAATTTTGAATCGAAAAAATGAAAAAAATAAAAAGTTTCTAAGTCAAGCTTGGAGATTTGTGACATTCCCTCTTAACTATTCATTACCCAATATGATGAATTGAATGATATACATATATAGGGTGTGACCAAAGGATTATACACACCCCTGTTGGGTTGAGATTGATAAAAAATGACGTGAACATGGTTGAGACCACTTTCACAAAAACCTTGCATTTTCTTTTTTCTCGTGTCATGTTTAATTGAATGATATGAATGCTGAGGATCTAAGGTTGATTTGACCCCCATTCCCTCTTTAGAATTTCAGAATCTTCACATATCTTGAAAATGGTTGAGATATCCATATTCATTTAATTTTTTTTGCATACATAGGACTTAACATTTTAAGAATTGATTGTAAAGGTAGGGTCTGAAAGGTTGGACGCCAAGGATGCAGTGGAAAATTTTGACCACCATATAGAAGCAATGGTATGTGTTCGAGGTACCTTCTAGCAGGCCACCTTTGCACCCTTTAAGGAGTAATTTCAAGGGTTCGTTAATGTTCACAGAGAGCACAAAATGACGTTTAGGATTTATATTCCCGATTTTGACCGGACATGGGTGAAAAGTTATACATTTCCATCTACCAAAATCGACGCATAAGTCGAAAAAAGACCAACATAACAATTTTATTTTCCCCACATAACAGAGGATAAGTTTTGATAGAAACAAAACAATTCTTTTTTATATAATAATTGATTTTGATTGATTGATTAAAATCATGTCAGATAATTACGGCTGCATCTAGAAAATTAGATGGAAATAAATAACCTAGCCATAGCAATCTATAGCAGATGATCAAGCAAATAACATGTCTGTATTGTTTGTAGTGGATAAGCTGAAAGTCTTTAAGGCTTTCTTGGCGACCGGAATTGACGTCAACAAGTGTACTGTGTCAGAAATATATCCTTTGATCATAGCGGTATGGCTTCGAAGTGACGATACCGTTAAATTGATATTGGAAGAGGGAGGAGATGTGAATATAATGGATAGTTATTACAACACACCATTGACTACTGCACTGGAGTTTGACCTTGAAGAAATAATTAATGATCTGTTGAAAGCAAAAGTAAATGTCAACCATAAAGGAGGTGAAAAACTGGTACCATGGATTGTTGAGAATGGAGGTATACTATAAGTGAATTTGGTGATACTAGGTGATAAGGCTCACGAGATCGCTTTTCCTTTTAGATGGTTTCTGATTTTTTAAATTATTGTATGATATGGATTTTGCCCAATGCTGTACAGTGAAATGTATTTGTATATATTCCTTTCATTTGTTGTCTTTGGTTGACAGTTGTCTCATTGCCAATTATACCGCATCTCTCTTTATTAAAAATGGGACTTTGGAGTCGTAAATTAAGATAATCCATTTAAAAAAATTCACATAAAATATTCAAAACTTTTTTTTCTCATTTTACTGATTGTAAATTAAGATCTATGGTAATTTTTTATACTTTCCCAAATGCGGTTCCTATCATTGCTCTCTGAAATAAACAAAAATGTGGGTAACGGTTCTTTTGTTCAAGCTACAGGTTGTGCTAAATTGTCATACTTTGTATAGAATGTTCATGTAATACACATTTGTAATAGAACGAACACTAAACCATAAATTTGTACGATAACTTATGAGAAGATATCTCTTATACATTTGTAATAGACTTTCAAAATATAAAAAAAGAAAAATTACGCTCACGGGACTCAGTTTCTGTATTTGTAAACAACAGTCGCAAACATACAACACATTTTCTTTTATTCAGTTGAAAATTCTAACAAATGAATGACATTCTTCTCTGAAAGTTTGCACATTTCATTAAAGATCTACACCGATTGATTTAAAAACAATAAGGTTCATCAGAAGATTCCAAGACCTAATTTATAGATATTCCGTTTTTGCTTTACAAATAAAACATCATGGTCCTGAAGTAAAGATTCTAGGTGCATTGCATTTGCGCCAATTTTGACAAACTTTAATCTTTCATTTGCGCCTCAAGGTTGTATTTCATATATAAAACGGAAAAGTTTAAAATATTCATTGCTACATCGTGAATAAGATGATTGTTTTAAGTATTGTAAGTATGTGTAATATAAAACTGCAAGTAACTTAGGATTAAAATTATATAGTGTTCACTTGTTTAAGGCGATTACAATCTTTTTTTGAATAAAACTTTTTTTGAATACTTTTAACCTGTACTTACCTGTATCATTGGCGCAAAAGAAATATTTTATTTTGGCGCAAATGAAAAATGGTTTGTGGCGCAAAAGAAAGATTATTTTGGCGCAAATAAAATGCCAATTGGCGCAAAACCAAAGCACCAGATTCTACTTATTGAATTTGTTTATCGTAATAATTACTAGTTATAGTGTTCTGTTATTTGTCTTTGCAAATTATTACCTTTATTGTTTAGTCCATTTTTAGTAATATTCCTTTGGCGTGGCTCGGTACTTATACGTCCTGTTATTGTGTTTCAAATGTATTGTTCTATGGTAAAGTTTTGTATTCTTATCTATCATTTTTGCCGATGTGCCATTTTGTATATCTTTGTTGCCATATTTGTTTGTTTTTATAGTAATTATATCACTAAGTTGACTGATGTACCTCTATTTTTTTTATTTTACCTATTATATCTGTTTGTTTTGTTCACATAGTATATTGTCAATGTAATGAAATTTTATTCAACTGTCATACAGGTGAGAGGTTAAGCTTGGTAAAAAACAGGTCTAATCCACCATTTTCTAAATACAAAAATGCCGGTACCGAGTCAGGAATATGACAGTTGTTTTCCATTCGTTTGATGTGTTTGAGCTTTTGATTTTGCTTTTAGATAAAAAAAAATCCGTTTTGAATTTTCATTGGAGTTGGGTACTTCTGTAAATCTGTCTAACGCAATTTTTCATTATAGAACCATCAAGTGCAAAATACATGAAGCTTTCAAATGTCTGCGGAAGTTGTAATCCACAAAATAGCTATGTAATCAAGTATGGAAATACCGTATTGACAAGAATTATAACTGACATGCCTTTGATGTCAGTAGAAAGAAAGGATGTATATATAAGGCTACTTCTGGAGTTTGGTGCTGATCCAAATCTTGAGGAAAGGGAAAGATATTCTACATTGATGCATGCTATCTTATTTGAATCTCATGTATTAGTTAGAACTCTTATAGAAGCAGGTGCTAATGTTAATTATGTTGGAGAAGGAAACTTGACCGCATTGCATATTTATTTTCAGCAATATCACATAAAAGGTGTGATTTGTTTTGTTTGATGCCTTCATTCTTTTAAAAAAAATTTATATGTAACGATAAAACATTACTTTGGGGCCAATCGTAAATTGACCTTCAATAACATTCTTTTTAACTCTTTACTACATCTTAATAAAACAAGTACATTTTGACATAAAACAAACATACTGAAGCTATATTACAATATCTATATACGTCTGAATATAGCCGAATGAAATATAATTTTGTCGAGATTAGGTAAGTAATTACAGATAGAAAATGGTTATATGATCCATTTGGGACAGCAAGTACTGGTTACTGTTCTGTATGTTTAAAAACGATTTGACTAGAGTTTTTATCAACTGATACATTTGATTTAAAGATCTTTTCCTAAAATCATTCACGAAAAAGATAACAGAGGGTTACATGTACTTTGATTCTTGATACAAACCTGTTTAATACTGTTACATTGTCATGTACAACGTCGTTACGGAAAGACAACGGAATGGTTTTGACAAGTTCCAAGATAGTTGAAATCGCTAGGGAATACAGTAGTGTTATCACTTGTCGTCCTACTTAATGTTAACTTTTACTTAACATATATAGGAAGTTTTTTTGTAGGATGTAAAACATACAAAAAGAGAATCGATGCTGGAAAACATTTAATCTTACAAATGTTGTTAGATAAAAAAGCATGCACAAATGCAAAATCACTTCATGGGGACTTACCACTACATCTTGCATTACGAATGAAATCTGATGACATCGAAAGTCATATCAAAGATGTACTTCTACTGCTAAACCACAGTACGGAAATTAACACTCCCGACAGCAACGACAAAACACCCGTCATTTCGGCTGCACAGTCTTGTACTATCGATGTTATCAAAAAAATGATTGAAATCGGAGCTGATGTTAAACGCAAGGATAATCAAGGAAATACAGCTCTTCATACTCACATGGGTAGGTTTAATCTGGTTATAAGTTACATCATAGAGTTTTTCTAAAGTTGTAAATGTTCTCCCAACCTAAATTATAGGTTAATTATTTGTGTTATTTTGAAACAGCTCCAAACGCCAATTGACATAATTTGGAGAAAGTTAACTTATTAAGTAATAAAATAGCGTCTGTACCGAGTTAGGAATATGACAGTTGTTTTCATTATTTCCGTTGATTGGTATTGTCTCTCGATTGCTTTGGACAGTTGTCATAGACATCAATCATCTTTTTCAATTTTACCTTGGAGCTCGGCATTTTTTCTTATACTTTTCTACACTTTTTTATCCACAGTTATTGTATTTGGAATGACTCTTTTGCCTTTTTATTATATTTGTCATCCAAACAATAAAAAAACCCACCACCGACAAATCAGAAACACAAAAACTAAAAATGAAACGATAAAACAATAGAAAATCACATACAGACAATTGAAGATCAATCAATCAATCCATCAAGCAATCAACCAGTCAATCAAGCAATCAATCAATAAAGCAATAATAGAGAAAACACAAATAAGATTTAACAAAACCCAATCTAATATATCTAGATGATCATTTGTTTACTTATATTATTTTGAAGATTCAGAGAGGTTTGATAGAGAAATAGTTTTAATCTTATTAAGATACGGCGCCAGTTTGAACATTCATAATGATTTAGGCGAAACACCATTGATTAGATTTATCAAAAGAAGACATTTTGCTCTTGACGATATACAGTTTCTGGTGCAAAATGGCGCAGATCTTGATAGCAGTAGTGAAGGATGTAGCTCAGCATTGATGGTGGCGATAAAACAAAATAAATTTTCATTACTTCATTATTTTATACGTGCTGAGGTTAATCTGAACCATGTTGGTGAAGGAGGGAAAACAGCTTTGCATGTTGCACTTTTAAAAGGTAATTTAGCACTCTTTGCAATTTCTTTATATCTGTATTTTAACACAGAGGAATAATAATTTCAGCACGTTCAATCATTAAACTAAAAAAAAACATAAATGCTACCTGAACAACGTATACGTAATGAAATATGAGACAAAAGCTAATATATATTTTTGCGTGAAACATTATAGTCAGATACACATATTGTTAAAACATGTAACATCTTAAGACGTCCTAACCATTGGAATAAGTTAAAGATATTCTGAACTCTAAACTTGTCCTGAATACAAAGTTTCATTTAAATATCATATATAAAAACTGTTTTATTATGTTCACTTGCAGGAAAATATCGATTTGATGTTTCTATAGAAGCAATAATAAAACAAATGGCAACTAACGCAACACAATCGTCATTGCAAGCAGGTAATTATAACATAAGATGTATTTGTTGAGGTGTCTTTCCTTCAGAATTATTATGATTAGGTTCATTATATAATTAGTGAATAGTAAAAGCATGATGAGTTTAATTGTTTCTCTAATTTCTTGTATTCAAAGATGACAAGGAAGCAATAATTTGGCGCTCTTTTTTTTATGTCATGGCGGCGACAATTGCTTAGTTTCTGAAAATTACAGATTGAAGGGAACCGCAACTTATACATAATGTATAATATTTAGTATATGCAGCTTACAATGGTATTGCAAATATATTGGTTCACTGCTTAGTCAAATCATTGTCTTTGAAACTTGTGCTCAGTCATATGAAAGTACTGATATGTTACAGTCTTTGGTTTTCTATGTTGAGTTTTGTATATATTTTCGTGGGGTTTCTTATTTTTTTGCCATTGCGTTTTCAGTTTGTTTTCGAATAGTGAGATTTTGAATTTCTCGTGATATTTTGCGCCCCTCTTTAACAGCTCGTAATTTTATCTGTTGAAAGGAGAACTAATGGTAAGCAAATGCTATTCGGTATTCATTTTGAAAATATAATTGCCACTGCGGTAACTGTGCATTACCGTCATCGTCAAGGTCCTTTCTTCGAACTTTATGCAATCTAAGAAGATTTTGTTTGCGTTAAAAAAAGCATATTAATTTTTCGTTGAAAACTACTTTCATATTCACGCAAATGATTTGATAACGTCATTGAATTTTTAGCGAATTTTTGATACTTACCAAAAGCGGTAGGAGTGAAAATAACGCATTTAATTTTGAAGCTTTTACATGTACTTTGACCCTACTAATGTATCGTTTGCCTGTAATTTGTTGTAATCTCCCTCGAGAATAATATATATTTCTATGACATAAAAAGGTAAATCGAATGCGTTTTGCTATTAAGTTAGGAATAAACTGATATTTCTACATTTTTGATTATGTTACAGACCCAATCGTCAACTATAGAAAAAGGTATTGTTGCTTTGAAAATGAACAATCTCTGGTTAAAATGAGAAGAACTAGCTCATACGATTGGCCCGAACAAGCAGTTACAGTTTCCTCTGCGACTACAAAGAGCAAGAGCGAGGATAAGTACATTGGTAAAGGTGAATAAGAATGATGTTATAAATTGACAAATGTTTTATTGTTTTCTTCTTCTATGATGATAAATGTCAACACAAATGCAGAGCGACTGAGTCATATTACCAAAAAATGATGTATGTGCATGACTTGAAAGTTGTGTGTGTGCGCATCGTTTTTGAACCTTTTGTTTTACACAATATCAGTTTCTTGTTATTTGTTGTCCTAAGCTAAAAAAAATGAAATCGAATATCACACCGGAAAACAAACACCCTTCGACAATCTTAAATGTGTTAACATCGTTCGGACGCATATCACTAGAGTTTATATTTCCAATGTTCAAAATCATATGGATATAAAATTATTTATGATCCGCCTTCTTAATAGTAAGACAAATTCTAATGTGACGCTATTCTCCACTTTTAAATTCCAATAAAACATGGGATAGATGTGTGGGACTTTACAATAGTCATTTCAAGTACAATTGTATTGTTAACAACGCCGGATTGATATTAGTCATTTGTTTGTGTCTGTGCTGCTTGGAAGGAAATCAAAATAAATTAATTTCAAAGTCAGTTTACATTTTTTTTATATCGTAAAACAGTTGTTGCTAGAAGATTTGTGCTTCGTCAAATTAAAATGGTTGTCATTCAAAAGCGTCTTTCAGGTTAGCTTTTTAGTAGACACTATCTGCAAATCCTATAAGAGCTTAGGTAATACTATCATGCTAACGCGCGGTATAAAAATACTGAGAAGTATAATGCCTATCCTTGAAAAAATGAGAATTGAGAATGGCATTAACAAATTATTTCTACAATTGGTATACTAGTATTTTTTCGTGTATTTAAAAATACCTTTGATATTGTCTTTAACAATGACATTGAATACTAAATTCGCCAGATGATAATCATATTCTGTTTGGTATTATCTGTTTTATTATGTGTATGCATTTTTTGTCGATCATAAATATATTTACATTGCCATTCCTTTACAGTTGTAGAAACAATCAAGACTCTTTTGACTGCTGGAGCAGATGTAAACATCATAACAGAAAATGGAAAATCACCGCTTTACCTACTGTTATCAAGACATCATAGTGATATTGTCCTAAAACTCTTGCCAGTCATTCTTGATGAAAGAGCAGATCCTAATATAGGTCATTATCCACCTTTGGAAATTGCAACACTTCTACAACATCAGGCAGTGGTTAAATCCTTGCTCAAGTACGGTGCTAAAGTGGATATAAAAAATAAAAGATGTGAAACTCCGCTTATAGGTGCTTCGCGAATGTGTTTCCTTAAAGATAAAGGTATGTGTTGCACCTTTGATAAAAATAGTGTCACACAAAATGTGTCACTTTTTGTGGCTTTGATACATATCACGCACAGTTAAATTCTAATGTGATGTCCTGAATGTTCTTGTGTTTTTTGTACTGTTTTCCTGTCACATTATGTTGTCATTTTAGCCGGATTTTTTAACAATAGGGAGAAGTTTTGCAAGCATTAAAGCTGGTTCAACCATCTAATTTGTTTCTTATAATGTCCGTTGCCAAGTCAGGAATATGGAAGTTGTTATCAAATAGTTGATTTCTCTGGGATTTTGTTGTGTTTGTTTTTGTTGCAATTCAGTGTTTCTGTGTGTGTCTTTGTTTTCTGCTGATAGTTGATGTGTTTCCCTCGTTTTTTTATTAGTGACCCGGATTTGTTTTCTCTCATCGATGTATGAATATTGAACAGCGGTATACTCTTGTTGCCTTTATTTGTAAACTAGAATTACTTTCGCCAAACAATAAAGTTAATTTTCTATATTATACACTACTCACAATTAAATGTTCCTATTTAGTGATTTCTGCACGACATATCTTTTAAATTGCTGTTTTGGACGTTCGTAATACTTAATAAAATTATACCAAATTTAATCTGAAGCACCAAACACATCAACAAAACATATTGCGAATGAAGAATATAGAAGCAAAATATCGCTTTGACAATACTATGGTTACGAAAAATTGGTTCAATGCATATTTTAAAAATCGATTCCAACGTTCATGTTTTTAGTACACACTTTAAAAATCATAAACCATACAAGGTAAGAATATTAAGATTTTTTACTTCAGATAAACTCCTGGAGATAATGGAAACACTTTTAAATGAAGGAGCATCGGTTAATGTAAAAGATGAAAATGGAAATCCACCATTGATAATATCCATCATTAATGGTTGTTTCCAACGGAAAGATAATTGTGACTCAGAAATGAAGAAAATAGTATCGTTGTTGCTGAAGAAAGGAGCAGATCCAAATATTCAGGACATTGGGAAGGATTCTGCTTTAATTCTAGCTGTTGAAAATATGTTGCCATCAGTAGTCGAAATTCTTTTGGTTTTTGATGCAAGTGTTGATCATGTTGGAGAAAATTGTATGTCAATATTACAAAGATGTTTACAAACAAAAAGTAAGACATTTACAATTATCTGCAGTTTGTTGGTGAACTCCTTCATATTATTGACATTCAACAAGTCAATCAGTCATATCATTTCGTATCAGTAAATTTGTGTAAGGAACACACCCATATTAATGGAGTACGTGTAGTCTAAACACGCACGACGGAGTAATTTCTCTTCTTCTTACCATATTTGAATTCTGTCAATTAATTCCTCGTAATTTCGCTGCGTTGAAAAAATAACTAGATTTGTAATTGCTAGCAATAACGGATGGCACCCTTCCCCCATTGCAAGGTTAACGGCAGCCATTTTTAAAAAATTCCAAAGTCGAAGAGCGCATGTACACATGCCAATTAACATTTTTGTAACGTTTCACGAAACTTGGAGCATTTTTAAATTTTGGAAAAATTTTGATGTTTCCATGGTTACGGTGACCCTTTCCAAAATTCCAAAGACAGGTACCACATTGGTACATGCCATGTTACATATATATAAAGTTTCATTGGAATTGATGTTACTTTCTCCAAGAAAATGCAGCTTTAATGTATTTTCCCATAGGGTCAATGTTAAACTGTCGCCCTGTTTCCATTACAATGGCGGCCATTTTGGAATTTCCAAATACTGTCTGCACATCTAGGCAAGCCAAGTAACATTTCCATAAAGTTTCATCCAGTAATGTCTTATAATGAAAGATTTATATTTGCATTTTTTTTTACATTTAAGCAGATTCCATGGCAACGGCAGCCATCTTGTTGATGCAATACCCCGATTGCAAATCTACACATGCTTGTTAACATTATAGTATAGTTCCATAACAATTGATTCATACAATTCCGAGATATATTTTTTTTTTGTAATTTTAATTCTGTCGCTTACTTTAATTGATTGATTTAATTATGTCGTATCACAATATTCATGAAATGTACAAGTCTTTGAGCAAAACATATCTATTTCAATATGATGTTCGTATAATAATCTTTCAGATTTTGCTAATGTTTTTTTCGGATAAGCGTTTTAAAGTAACACTTAACAATATACTATCAAGCTCTGATAAAATTCGATGAACATAATATAAATGATTGGATGACAATGTAACATATTGTTTGATTATTTTTAAAATTAAAAACGTAAAAACGATGACTTATCTTCTAAAACATAAGTATTTTTTTTCTTTCTTTTACGCTTGAATTAATATAATTTCAGATAACACGAGTTCGAACTTTGAAATGTTGAACGTTTTACTCAGTAATAGAAGTTTCGGAGAAGAAATCAACGTTTTCGTTCCTCAATTTTGGGAGTACATGCAGAAACAGTATGATTTGAAGGCGTCCTCTTTTTTTCTAGAAAAGGAAATTAACAAAAAGCTTATTGGAAAAGTTTCATCAATGGTTTTGTCGAAATCCTATGTAATTCCAAATTTTACAAGTGAACTTCATGATTCTGCACTCATTTACTTTTGCCAAATTGAATGTCTAGATGCTGTCAAACTTTTAATACAATATGACGCAGATGTTAATGCCATTGGAGAGAAAGGGAAGACTGCAATACATCATGTTATAGAGATAAATGGTAATGCATTGTGTATTTTTATTAATTAAGTTCTAACATATATGTATTTTTATTGGCAAAAATTGGAAATTTAATTTCAATGATCTTCCTCTTCGTAATTGACATTGTTTAGGTTATAGTGCCATTGATGATTTATATGAAGACAAACGTGAGTCTATAGCACCAAATTATACGCCTGATGGTGTATTTGATGATAATTATTGCCGTAACAGAATAATTCTCAAGTGTTTACTTGAAAAAAACGTATTATTTAAAAAAAAAGAGCACTTTTCACTCTGTAAAGAATACAAGCTGCACTGCTCTTATCTCTATTAAGAAAATGTTTTGATCTGATGATCTTGATAACATCATAGGAGATGTCGGGTGGATATCGATGTCGGGTGGATATCGATGTCGGAACAATATAAATTATAAGCTTATAAAACAATAACATTAACAGTTAATCGTTAATAACGGTATCATAGATATAACACTTGTTCAACCCAACAATAACAATGAATAATATCGTATGAAACAAGAAACTCACAGTAAGGAAATGCAAAGTAAAAATGTTAAACTATTGTAACATAGTTTTTGCCCTCTTGCCTAAACAATTATTTTAATCAGGAGAAGTATGCTTAAGCCAATGTGCTTTTTTCTTTTACATCGTGCGATTCGATTACTTTTATCCATATTAAGTTTTTGGAAACATAATCGGTCTTTGTAAAACTCTTCATCTGTTTCGCATAAGGAAATTAAATATTTTATCGAGGAAGTAGATCTTTCATTGTTCACCATGTGAGTATTATATTATGAAATCAAAAAGCTCCGGGCAACGCTTTACCTAATCATATACAAAAACTACCCAAATAAAACACTTATATACTGACCTTTTATCAATTTGGATAAACATTTTAAAAAGGCCAATCAAAATAGCTTTCGACGTTGAAACAGAATACGTTGTTTTTAAGATAATTCTGTATTTGTTTATCTTTTTAAGATTCATGTACGGCAGTGCCAATGCTCGATTGCATTTTAAGAAGACAACCAAATCTGCATCTTAAAGATATAGCAGGGAAGACTTCTTTAGAAACAGCTATGTGTTATATAGATGCTCAGTTCGTACAGTCGATGTGGTACAATGAACGAAAGACCTATCTTGCTGAACATGAAAGAGTGAAGTTGATGACGCTGAGTCGTTTGATGATTCGTCTTTTAGAATCAGGGGCAACAACGGAAGTTGCTTCATTGAACAGCACGTTAATCAATTTTTCCCATGCGGGAGATTTCAATGAAATGAAAGCATTGATTTCACATGGGGCAGATATGAGTTATCGTGAGAAATCTGGAAATTCAGTACTTCATTTATGCTGGTCCTACTGTAAGGCATTGATGTTTTTTATATACGGAAAGTTATCAACATAAAATTTACTATTATTTAATATTAATCAGTTATTAGAACTGAGGTAAAAGATAAAGATTAAAGCAGTATATGTGATTGAAGATTTTAAGGGATAACACCAACCACCAATGCAATTCTCCGAAAAATCAAATATACAAAACGTAGACAAAAACAAATGTTGCATATAACATGACTTAGTAGAGGGACAAAATGTAAGAAGCAAGCTACATCTGTCGGTTGCATACTGCCACTCAAGAACAATTCGAAAATAACAATTTTTACACGTGAAATGAAAACTTTTTCCTTACATTAAGTTGAAAAAGATTCCTGAATTAAGTATCAATATTTCACGTATTAATCTTGTTCCATGAAAGCAATCGTTCCCAATTTTATCTACATGGCATGTCTTGTCACGGAATTTTTATTTCATATTAGTAGGTTTTATTTTGTTCGATAAGCTGAGAAAACAACCTTTGTGACGTAAAGTATTGACGGATGTAGAATGTCATCGTATCGGAATATTTGCGCTATTTTCTAAATATTTTGCTATGAAACATTCAACACAACTTTTTGTTGTAGGTATTAATGAATCATTGCCATTTCTGCAGTGGGTCCACGGAAGGGGTTTTGATTTAAGCGTTGTTAATGATGACGAAGATTCCATTTTGATGGCAATGTTAGCTAGTTACAACAGCAGTAAAAGGGATGAACGGGATGAAAAATTTGCTGAAATTGTTCACTTTTTCGCTGAAAATGATGTCAAATTTGTAAAGAACAAATATAAAAATTCCCCTTTACATAACGCAGTAAAAGGAGGATATCCTAGAACGATAGAGGCATTAATAGAACACGGGGTCGATGTATGCTGTCGAAATGAAAGCGGATTGACACCTATACATTATTGTTTGGAAAGTCCAGGTAAATATGACTACATTTTTTACTAAGAAAAAACAAAGAAAAAAATCCTGATGTACTATTAGTACTCATCGTGTTGTTAATAAATGTAAAAATCAAGGATTAAAGGAAAATTGTAATGGTCATAAACGCGAAGGAAAGAAGGAGATTGTTGTAAAAGAAGATAAATAGAACATAGCTGTGATCGAAAATGTAAGGACTCGATGAAAACTTACAAATCTTGTTAACAGTAATTAAACTGAGTTGTTTAAAACGACATTTATTGTCATTTTCTATTTTTATAAAGATTTATAATATGCAACGGTCATCCAACATAATTTTTTCTGATAATCAAAGAAAGTTTTGTCGCTTACATTCATTTTTGTGTACATTGGTATTTGTTGAATTGTTGTCGTATTTGAGGACCTACATGTACTAGATTACCTTACATTTAGATTCAACCAAAAATGATATTTATCGTGAAAATAAATGTGATATGACCAAACAGTTATAATGAAAGGAATATGAAACATCCTTATATTTCAAACATGGGCACTAGCATTACTTTCCAACTGGTCCTATTTTTATTTTTTTTTTAAATATTTTCAATTCCGTTGAAACTAATTGAATTATTTTTCCGTTTGATGTGGTTTTTGCTAGTATCAATATTATAGAGTTGCAGCTATTAATTATTACAAAGTGCTATGTTAGACTGTATTTTTGAATGATTTATATCCTTAGATAAAACAAATGGTCCAGAGATTTTATCACAACTACTAACTTTTGCACTATTAAAAGAAGATATAAAATCGCTAGAGGGAGGAAAGCTTCTATATCTCTCATCAATGATAGGATATACTACACATTTAGATGAAGATTCGGCAAATTTTCAAACTGAGCTAACAGCAATACTCTTGGAAAATGGTGCAGACCCCAACGCTCACGTAGGTGACGAAATACCATTGATAGCAGCATGCAGACAAAACAACATAGGGTTGACAACACTCTTATTAGATTATGGGGCAAATGTAAATATAACAAACAGTGAAGGAAGTTCTATTCTCCATATTTTGTTTTCTGTTTATTCGGACAAAGGTAAGATTTGAAATAAAACTTTTAATTGTCTAATACCTCACTGGTGTTAAGCGGATGGTCGTAACGTAAAGTTACGACCATCCGAAAATGGGAGACAACTCTAGGGATAAGTTTTTCTTTTCCAATTTTCGTGCTGTAAAAGGTTCATTTGAGCCAAAATCGCTTATCTCATATAAACTTATCGTGAGTGCGTTGATATTGAAACCAAATTTGATACATAAAATCATTCCAATTTTCGTAAAATAGTCATTCAAAAATTCGAGCATGATGGTCGTAACTTTATATGTGTGATTGTCGTAACGTCAACTATAGTATTTTGGATGATGGTCGTAACCGACTCAAGATGGTCGTAACTTTGAAAGATGACCATAACTTGAGTATTTAGACGAATTTGTATTAACGTATTTTAAAAGTAATGTGCACATAACCATGTTAATAAAATCAGATGTCATATATGGTTTACTACAAACAATATTATTTGTTACACTGATAATGGTATGCAGAAATTAAAGAATTATTAACCATACACAGTTCTGATGTATTCCAAACGCCCATCATTTAGGAGAAACAATAAAAACTAATCAACTCGCATTAAGCCAAATAGTATATTAGGGTTGAGTATTAATATATTATTTACTGTACGATAAGGCATAAAATTGTTCAATGCACGTGTATTCCCTCATATTTTTTTTTAGATTTTTTTTATTTACGACTTTTTATTATCTGCAGTCAAGTAGGGAGATGAAATAATTGAACGTACAATTTTGAACAATCATCTTCAACTTTTAATCAGCTATTGCAGTTCTTATAATCATTAGTCTTCAAATATTCGGTTTTTGGTCGTTCATGATGAAGGTAAATCCACAAATGCGCATCGGAGTCATGGAATTTTAAAGTGTTGTCTTTATTTTTTATCGATTGCATGACGATCATATGTTGCGGTATATCATTGATATTAGTTCTAAGTATTAGCACGGAATGAAAACTGAGTCCATGGTGTCACAATGAACATTGTGTTAACCTTGAAAGTAGGAATATTTTTGAAATATATTTTACACTGCTACACGCGCTGAATTTAAGTGTAAGATCAAATATTAGTAGTTTGTAGCCAGGATAATATTACAAGGTAGAACTAAATGTACAGCGGCAACTATCACATACATATGCAGGTTAAAAATAATGTTAATGTTATATGTTTATATTGTATGAATGTATTCAGCTTTAAAAGACCAGCAGGCTGAGTTGAAGCATAACGTTCTATCTTTTAATATTATCCTGGCTACAAGCTACTCTGGCTCATAAATGTATTTGATTCCATTCTTAAGTTCAGTGTGTATAGCGGATAGCAGTGTAGAATAGATATCAACAACCTCCTTCATTCGAAGCTAACACAAGGTTCATTGCGACCCCATGGATTCAGTATTCCAACCCATGCTAAGAAATCCTCGCTCAAAATTCTTGTGGTCCTTCTACGGCACCCATCAGTAGTTACCGATTTGATTTCATTCAACAAATTAATTTATGACCTGCATGTACGTGTCGCTGAGAACACGGCTTTGATATTAATCATCCGTGTTATTTGCTCTACGGGATGTTTGCATAATTTCAACGAAGGCAATTTGGCATGGTACCAATAGTCGTATTCAGGATTTGCTATAACAACGGGTAATAATCCTACCTGAACTTTGTCATTGTACAGGGAAAATTTGAGCAGCTTATAATCAGCTTGACTTTACCAAATGACAATACAACTTCTAAAAATACAGGCTAAAAATTAGGCGTATGTTCTTTAATTCAGGTACGGACCCGCGATGTCGCGGGTATGGTCTAGTCTCGATAACGACGTCCATAACCTATCAATATTTTTAGCTTATTTTGATACCTTACTAATGCTCTTTCGACTTAAAGTATCAATTTTAAATTGTAGATTTTTTTTAAAATTCCACTTAGTTGGTACATCCTCAAATAGTTTTAAAAAAGTTGATCTTTTCAATAGATGCAAAATCTAAAGAAAAAAAATCAAGATACTGTTATCTCATGTGATGTCCAATTTGTTAAAAACACCTTTTATTAAAATAATTTATTTTGTAATTAAAAATGATTTGATACATTTCGTGCCTTTTTATTCCTTACTAAGAATGATAATAACCAGAGCTGTGTTTCTCGTTTTAAAATGAATTCTCAACTTTTGAGAAATTTATTTTGTTATTGAATTTAATCGCCTACAACTATTTGCCTCTTGGTTAATTTTATACATTATATTTTAAGTAACAGTGACTGTTCATTTCATTTTGTATTGTTTCGTCCGATTCGTTCCAATTTCTTCCGTTTCGCACTTTACAGGTACCCCTCTCTTCACCCCTTTTAGTTTTTATTATTTGGTGAAAACAACTTCACAAATATATCATATATTATATTCATATAATAAAAGACACGTTTAAAACTGTTGACTTGCCTTATTCGGTCCAAAACATTTAAAAAATTAGGAATTTTGATATTTCAAAACTTTAATAAAAATTCCAATAAAAACCTAATATTTTAAAACTTTTTAAAATTTTGAATTGATAAGTGTTACACGGACCGCAATTGCTTTATTATACGTTGTATGTAAAAATAAAAAAACTTCACAAATATATCAAATGATATATTTATATAATAAAAGACACGTTTAAAACTCTTGACTTGCCTTATTCGGTCCTATTTAATAAAGAGTGACTACCATCACAATTTACGTTACGACCACCCTCAACATTTTTGTTGTTTAAGTTACGACCATCATGCTCGAATTTTTGAATTACTATTTTACGAAAATTGGAATGTTTTTATGTATCAAATTTTATTTCAATATCAACGCACTGACGATAAGTATGTATGAGACAAGCGGTTTGGTTCAAATAAAACTTTTACTGCACGAAAATCGGAAAAGAAAAACTGACCTCCAGAGTTGTCTCCCATTTTTGGCTAACCTTACATTTACGTTACGACCATCCGCTTACCACCAGTGATACCTATGATGTAAATAACAATTTTCTTAATATCATTAAATATTTGAGTGAACGGTGTCCGTGTATATGTTCTACTTGTCGCTACTACAATCTTGTATTTTTTACCTGTGGTAATACCGAATATGATTTATCATCAGTTTTAACTAGCCATGTGCAACGCGAAGGAAGATAGAATTGCACCAGACAATCCACTCGGCGGAAAATTGTACATTTACCACAGCTAATTATGTTTCAAATATGTTTTCATTGATTGGTTTTTCTGTTGTATTTTGTCGACTTATATTTGTCTATTATCTATTTTAGCATGGATGTTATTATCTGTTTTGATACATGGTTTTAAAATGCACCTTTTTATATTCTATCTTTCCTAATATATCTATCATGTTAAATTCATGCAATGTAGTCAGAGTCTTGAACAAGAGCTATTTTGTGCAAGTGTCATCTTGAATCAGTGTGCTATATTGATATATTCATTACTATATATATGAAATGTGTTCAAAGTACTCTTTTATGTGGGTATATCGTTCTTACTTATCATGTAAATAAGGCCTTAAATTCTGGAATTGCTTCAATAGATGGCCTCATTTATACGTGTCTTCCTTATGTCCAATGTAATGTTTAATGAAAACATAAAATTTACTGACATTTGAACAGCTGGGGCAAAAGAGGGGCGACAGATACCAGATCTAGAGGAACATCCAAACTCATCGATCGAAAATAAACTGAAAACGCCATGGCTATAAAAGAAAAATATAAACAGACAAATAATAGTACACGAGACACAACATAGATATAAACTAAGGACTAAACAACACAAACTTCACCAGAAACTGGAGGTGATCTCAGGTACTCCGGAAGAATAAGAAAATCCCGCTCCACATGTGGCACCCGTCGTGTTGATCATGTTATCGCACACCCGGTAAATAGTCTAATTAGGTACGTCACATTCATGAAAAGGGAACGGGTTTGTAGTCTTAGCAGGTCATTAAACACCGAAGTATAATTTTAACTTCGAAAATACAACTTTAGAATATATTGTAGGAGCTTTTCAGATCAAAATTGGTTTAAATGTGTTTGACTCGGCATAACAACGTGTAAGGCAATTGAAACAAAAGAAACAACATTATGATGTATGCCTAATCGCTTTAATATTTTAATGAAAACGAAATTTACAACGAAAACCATCGACTGACTAAAGACAGGAACATTAAAAAAGTTCACTATCAAACATGTTTTTTATTTCACAAATCTTCTATTATACAACGGTGTAACAGCTCAACTCAACTAATATGCCTACTATTGTCAAAATGGTCGGTTTGCAAGGCAAATACACAAATTGATTCTCGGTCAATCATGTGTATGATAGCTTAAACGTTCTTCCACTTACGTCAGATATTGGTTGAACTAGAACTACACTAAAAAAATCAAATATCTTCTATTTGTAAAAAAAAAAGATGATGTGGTAGATAACCAATACAACAAATCTCCACAAGAGACCAAATGACACAGACATTCACAACTGTGTGCCATCGTACGGCCTTCAAAAATGAGCAAAGTCCATACCGCGTAGTCATCTTTACATTTGTAAATGGCCACGACATAACAAATGTGAAGCAAATCAAACAAGAAAAACTAATGGGCTAATTTATGTACAATTACAGAATACATAAAGAAATTATTGTCTATCTGTCTGTCTGTCTGTCTGTCTAACTGTTAGTACTTTACCTTTCTTAAAGAAAAGAAACTGCAATTGGTTAAACTATTGCTTGGAAGAGGTATACATGTAGATATGGTCGACAAGTCCGGACGATCTGCATTGTTTTTAGCCATTCAGACGTGTTCTCGTGATCCAATTGATGACCGCGATGAAATGGAATTCGATTCTCCATCAAAAATATATTATGATGCATCCAGAGAAATTGTACTTGAGCTGATTCAAAATGGATCAGATGTCAATTTACAAGATAATTCAGGAAACACAGCCTTAATAACGTTCAGTCACTCAGGTAAGTTTTTTCTTTGAGCTACACATATATTATTTATTCGACACTTTAGGAAGACGCATAAATACCCCACCCATAATTGAATAAAAACAAATCTACGACCGCCATGAATTATTTATATATTGTTCGCTTAAAACTGTTGGATAAACTGCTTACATTTTATATCAGCATCCTTTTATGATACAAAGAATTCGGCACTTTTTAAAGATAGAGATATCATCAAAGTACAAATTACAAGATAATTCTTATTCCTTGATGTTTCAATCGCGCAAAAGGTGATAGGACTGTGGTTATGACTATTTGAACAAAACTGTAAGCATCTGTAACACAGATAGCCAATGAACACCAACCAGCTTGTAATGACACCTGTAAAACTGTTGAAGGCATGAAATATTGTATATAAATTCTGTTGCAATTATAATCGCACAATGTCTTCAAGGCTGTTGTTTGTTTTAATTTGCAGGTTCCGATGCGTTTATAGAAGATCTCTTACAAGCAGGTGCCGATCCAAAATCATGTAATGACAGATTTTGTTTACATTTTGCCGTAAGAAATAGATTATTACGGAGTAGGAGCAAACCCTGGGTTAATTTTGTATGTCTGCTTTTGGATAAAGGGGCATCTCCAAATGACTTTAAAGGACATGTATCAAATTTAATTGAAGTTACTGTAAAGAAAAATATACTCCTGGTAGAGAAGATATTGAAGCACGGAGGGGATGTAAATTTTACAGACAACACAAAAAGAACTGCGTTGCATTATGCCTGTATTTTAAGTAAGATATTGAAATTTTATACACGCAAGTTCTATAGAAAAATGTGTGTAAGACAGTTTCTGGTTTGTTAATTGAAATAGATTTTCTAGAGTATTGACAAATTGAAAATACTGGTTTGTGAAGGGAAAAAATACTTTTTATCACAGCCAGTATTATTATTATTTATTTATCATTTTCGCAATCTCTCAGCTTTAGGTATGTCTGCAGGTTTAAAAAACTTATTGCAGATTTATTTACAGGAAAATGCATTAATGATTAGTTCCCGATTACGGATTTGTACAGTCTAAATTGCATTTAAGTTTTCATGGAGATCTGATGTGTTGAATTCATTCACATTCAAAAAGTCATATTTCTAAATAAAGGTATCATTTGAACAAAATATCCTTCCTCAAGAAAAGAACATTTAAAATACCAACAAAAATCAATCAAATTTGAAAAAGAAAAATGTATTCCTTTCGACAAAACAAAAATTGTATTGGAAACAATGTATGAACAAACTATGTCAGACAAATTTGTTTTTTTCTCTCTCACTTATATATGTGTACTTGAGAGAGAACAATGTATAACAATAACTTATGTTATGGATAATGCATATTTTAAGGTTTTTCTTGTCGTAGAACACACCGAGGAGTGCCAGAATTGGTCAAATGAAAGACCGACCGTAGGGAGGTCTTTCTTTGGGCAATCCTGACATCCCGAGGTGTGTTCTACGACTAGAAAAACCTTAAAATATGCATTATCTGACTTATATACCGTCAAAAAAATATTATTTTTTAAAAAGATTTGCAAAATTTAGAATCCTATTTCACCGACCACACTAAAGTTGGATATTCCTTTCTAATGCGTTCAGGTTTTAATAGACATTTTCGAAAACTATTCGATACCGACGCTTACACCTACGCCTATGCCTACAGGTAACCTTTTTGAGAAGGGGTCATCTCAATATGTACAACGACCACAGGCATTTATATTATATATTTTTTTATCTAATCTTACATTTTAAATACTGTATAATACTTTTATTTTGAATGATTTGCTACTTTATTAGCACTGTTTAGTAGCTGAGAATTGACCGATCTTAATATTGTACTTTGGAAAAAAAAGGGGGGGGGGGCTTTGTGTAAATTAGTAAAACTTCAATCAGAAACAAGAATGTGTAAAGTCTTTTATAGCGTGAAACAGAACGTATTTTAGTATGTGTTATCTTTGTGTAATCAGGGCGGTACGGAATTTTACACCGGTGTTGAAAATGCATTGTAAAATTCCGTACACCCCTGATAACACTAAGCCTTTACTAATTTTTATACGACCGCAAAAAATTTGCGTTCGTATATTGCTATCACGTCGTCGTCGTCCGAAGACATTTGGTTTCCGGACAATAACTTTAGTTTAAGTGTATGGATCTCTATGAAATTTGACCAAAAGGTTCAATACTACAAAAGAAAGGTTGGGATTGTTTTTGGGGATGATGGTCTCAACCGTTTAGGAATTAGGGGCCAACAAGAGGCCCAAAACAAGCATTTTTCTAGTTTAAGGACAATAACTTGTGTATAAGTATTTTGATTGCTCTGAAATTATACCACAAGGTTCAATACCACCAGTAGAAGTTTGGGATTCATTTTGGGGGTAATTGCCCAAACCGTTCAGGGGAGAAAAAAAAACAGTTTTTTTGGGGGGGGGGGGGGTCAATTTTTTTTCCTCAAGATTTAAGAAATTATCAATTTTCAAAAAAAAAAATGGGGGTCACAATTTATTTTGCTAATTTTTTGTATATAGTTTGAAAACAGATTTACTAAGTATTGCGCAACAGCACAGTGTATTGCACAACAGCAAGACATTTTCAATTGAATATAAATTCAAATCATATAACCAATTTCAAGTTCTTTGACTACATTTATTCTGTGTCAGAAACCTATAATGTGTCAAATATTTAATTACAATCCAAATTCAGACCTGTATCAAGCTTGAATATTGTTTCCATTTTTGCCCCAACTGTTCAGGATTGGACCTCTGCGGTCGTATCCAACTGCGCTCGAAGTAGCAGTTTATTATACCTGGGTATAAAATTAAAAAAAATCTTATAAAGAACTTTCACTTCACAATTCAACACTGGTGTTGCTGCGCGTTGTCAAATATAACGTTGATATATATATTTTTTTTTGTAAAGAGGGGGGTGGGGTTCTACATTTTATCTTTATGTTTAGTTTTGGGAAATTTTTGTTTTTTTGTAATTTTTGATTCTTTTTTATTACATTTTGCATTTTATTTTAACTTTTAGCAGTTATATTTTACTTTTGGCATTTTATTTTTGGTGGAATTTACACTACAACCGTTTTTATTTTATACCGAGTCACCGAAACGTCCATTACAAATCCTAAGACCTGTTGATTTATATTGTTAAAAATATATTTGCTTGCTTCATAAGAAATAAGATACTTTATTTATGTTCCGAATGCTTTCTAGAAATTCAATTCGCCAATTGTATATTCTACCACAAAACTGTATTCCGTTTGATTGGTTGCAAAAGGAGACAATTAAAAAAAAACAGATGGAATGTCACAAATTTATTACTTAAAATAATCCAAAACTAATGAGAGCATTCGGTGTTTCTAGCTCCGATTCCGAATAAAAAATCATATTGAAAAAATACAGAATGTATTTTTTTGATATCTGCAACCAAGTTTTACGAGGTCATTCATTCAGTATGTTTTGACATTTTGATACGGTCCCTATTGTAGTCAGTGTAGGTGTCGGTGTCGGTGTCGGTGTAAGTGTCTGTGTAGATGACTTTTCAAAAATGTCTAATAAGAACTACGGCTCATTTAGAATGTGAAATAAAACTCACTCAATAATCTAGATATAAACCTTAGAAATTATTATCCATACACAATAAAAATATTACTGTAACTGCATGAAGTAAGACACAAATGATTTGTTACCATCCGATAACGGTGTATGAAGAATACAAGACACTTTGTAAGTAATTTATTGTACCAACTTAGTTTATGAAAAAGGGGGAGGGGTGCAATGTTTTTGTCTATCTGTAATGCCATTTATATCGCGGAAAAGTGAATATTTTTTCAACAATTTTAATTGAATTGAATGAAATATTTAGAATGATTTTCTTTTGAATAGGAATATATATTTTTTTAACAGATAATCAGGATATAACTATATACCCTCCCCCCATTCCGACCCCATTGTCAGGTACGTGAATGTTATTCAATAGAATATAAGAATATTTTATTAGATGATCATTTGATCAGTTGCACCTATCATAGATTGAACTTTAAAAAAATAAATTCCCTAGTCGGCAACATAAAACATTCAGATGAATTTAATTTTGAAGTAAATTATAGTTTGCATTTTTATCAAGGAAAATAATGACCTCACACAGGACATTATTTTATGCCTTGTAGCATATTTCATTGAAACATGGTATCGTCCGGGTTGATTCATCGAAAGAATGACCTATCGTTCTGAAAGAAAATAACTCCATATAGGTATATAAATATGAGATTGATTATTCAAAACATTTTTCATTTCTGCCTGCAATTTTTGAAGTGAATTCTAAACTGAACTAAAAATTAAAACGTTTTTTCTCTTGTATGCCCATCATAACAACCCGTCTGGAAATTACGTGTCTTTGTAGTGATTAGTTTTTTTGGTTTACAGTTTTTATTTCAAAAGTTTCCAATTGTGCACCATTTTTTTTTGTACTTATGTCAAGCAAAACTGATACAACTTCTTTTAGAGAAAAGGGAAAAAACAGATTTTTAATTTCTTGAATTTCCTTTTCATGTTTATTGATGATTTCACTCACAAGCCCACATTTCAGTGAGTACTAGCATGGCATATATCAAACTCAACTTGCAATTAGGAATATAAGCAAAACTAAAAGCTTTACATCTTATCTTGATCTCGTCCTCCATATTGACATAGATGGACGTCTATTTTTCTAGAAAATATGACTAACATATAATTTCAACTGTCGATCTGTCAATTAATCATTTCTCAGCAGTGACATACCATCTGTCACAAAGAAACAAATAAATGGACAAAACAGAGCAAGCATACGACATCTCACAATTTATTGATTTATTTCCAATAAGTAAATGTAAATATTAACAGTGTATGAATATGTGTGTATTTGTAGAGAATACGATGGATAGGGATGAAATAATTAATAAACTCGTTGAATTCGGTGCAGACCTTAATTGTCCATCAATTACTGGAGAAAAACCACTGGATGTTTTGATGAAGAGTATGATACACGATATAAGAAACAATTATTCTATCTGGGATGACCTAAACGATCCATATTGTCAAAAAGTTGTAGTTGATTTGTCCTCATTCAATCTTTTTGTTAGTGGAGGGTGTGATTTAACTCCAGTTCAAGATCTAAAGAAAGACATGTTTATACCGTTCCAAAAGGAAATGTTTGAATGGTCAACAAATTTAATTGTAGAGAGGTTAGTTGATTTTAGATAATTATTGTACGTTTGTCTTCCCGTGTAGTTTTTATACACAACAGATTAGAAATATTATAATTCGACAAAGTTTATACACGCATAACAGTTTTAGTTGCATAAGTATTGAGAGCGCGCTTTTTTTTATGTGTTAATACATGTCTCTCATAGAACGCTGTATGTATGATTGTGCTATTTTTATCTTGTTTTGTCTAATTGACGAATACATGTCAATAGTCTGTTCTTATTCACAAAATTTAATGTTAAAAACATTCTATAATTTGAATTTCAAATTACCTCAAACTAACTGCCTGTCGATACTTTAATTTTGGCATTGCACAATGCTGTTTTCTTTGACTGTCCATGGCGCTAAAACACTTAATCCCTGGGAACTGTTTTAATTGAGTTTAGTCTCTGTTGCATGATGTTTCAATATTAATTGTTTTTGGATTTTCACTAGCTTTCAGTAACTGCGAATACACTCAAATCGTACGTTCGTGTTGATTTGACCTATTGACAAAATTTGTAATGCATTTCTGTAATTCAATGTTTACTTATTTTGTGTTATTTTCGTCCCTCTATTTTTAATATCTACCACCTTTGATAAGATTTTGAAAGGACGATAAATTTTCACTTATTATTTATTTGGTAAAATAAAAATAACCTTTTTTAAACGTCTCTTTTAGTTAAGCCATCTTAATTGATATTTTATAGTGTATCTTTTCATGATGTAATGTTACACTCCTGTCTCAGGTTAGGGTGGACTTTGGTGTCAAAACGGTTAAACCCTCTGTTTATTTTATGCACCTATCCTAAGCCAGGAACAAGTTGTACAGTGGTTGTCTTTTGTTGGTATGGTTCATAGGTGTTTCACGTTACTAGGTTTTGATATAGATGAGACCGTTTGTCTTCCTGTTTGAATTGTTTTATACTTGTCTTTTTGTGGCCCTTTATAGCATGCTTTTCGGTGTGAAAAAAAGTCGCCTCATTGAAGACCAATAAAAATGTTACTTTTTATACATTGTGACTTGGATGGTACCACTCATACCACATCTTCTTAATTATAATCAAACGTATGACAAACTTTTAAAAATATTTATCAATTCGTCAAAGGTATAATTGATATTATTTGAAGATTTTATTGTATGAGTAGATAGCCAATATAAGTAGCACAATTCTTAACAAAAACACGATGTCTAAAACAAAGTGACCGATTTTATATTTTGATATCATAACAAAAAATTGCAAAAAATGTTTGCAATATACTGTTAAAATTACAACACATATCGACGAAGATAAATATGCAAACAATTATTAAAATGACTTAGCTAGTGGATATTGTTTTCCTGTTTAACATTTTAAGTTTGCACGAAAATGATGAATAGTGCCTGCTAGTTCTAGCTACACATTTTAGCTATATTTGTCTTTTTGTCTTATTACTTATTTTTTACATGCCTTTGTCAGTTTATTTTCGATTTATGAGTTTGGATGTCCCTTTGATATCTTTCGCCACTCTTTAAACTACTAAAACATAAATTTGAGCATAGGCTTGTTCAAAAAACCAGTTTGAATGTACAAAAATATGGAGTTTATATGAACAAAGTCAGGGTATAAATAGGGAAAAAACTACTTTTTTCCGTTCTACCGTAAATCTTTCCAATCACAATGCATATAAAACATTAATATGTTTGCCTTTGATATTTTATTGTGTGCGGATTGATTACGTATTAAATCAAAACACTATATACTTTCTACTCCATTATAATTGTATTTTTTAACATTAATGATGATTTTTGTTATCTTTTACAGCAAAGATCGTTCAAATGAATCCGTTTTACTCAATTTACTACAAACAGGATTGTTTGAAACGGCCGAATGTCTCATTCGATGCGGTTGGCAGGTAGAAAGTGAAAAATGGTTCAGTACTGACAAAATCGCAAAACTTGATACATCAAGCATTGAGATCTGTGGAAGATATAGAAAACTAGATGTTCAAAATTGTAAAGACCAATTTCAAGATTTTGTTGACAACATAGATACAGGACCAATATCTTTATCAATAATATGTAGGAAAAGCATTAGACAGCAGCTTGTAAAAGCATCAAGAGGGGCAGAGATCAAGACAAGGATTAACCTACTCCCTGTCCCGCCGATAATACAATCATTCCTGGCCTTACATGATTTTTTCCAGGATTACGAAATTATAAAACTGCGAAACAATAATAGGTATGAAAAATGATTGATTTCAAATAGGGAGATCTAAATATAAATATTAGAGCTGTACACGTTTAAAGGTTTCCAAATTTTATAAATAATCAGATGAAGTTTTTTTCTTTCAATTATTCTGTAAATAGACTTTCGCAAAATTGTAATGCATATTTAAAAAAACAAGATTGCTAGATATTGAAATTAATTGAATGCACCAGATACGTCGTTTGAAATTTATTTGTTATATTTCGCCCCTCTTTTATACCTTTGCTGATCTGGTTTATGTGTTGTTTACGTTTGGGGACCAGAAGATTTATTTAAATGTTACGATCACAATCACGAATTGTATAATCTAAGGCCGAAAAACGGATTCTATTCGATGTGCCAGTGCTTAACTTATTATGTTTTTTGTATTATGTACCTTATTTCGTCACTGCCTAATCGAGATATAAACATCGGTGAATTAATGTCGCCTTAATTCAGTGCATTTGTCATCGATGTGTTCAGCAATCGAACCATTAAACAAATAAATTTATACAGACAATATATGCATAAAAACAGAAATATTTCTCGAATTATTTAAAATGATAGATAAAAGAACATGTGGTATGAAGTGTTTACTTGAAATTATCAACATCTTCCCATTTTTGTGGCAAAAATAAATTTGTTATTGGTCTGTATTGTTATTTATAATAGATTATCAAGACTATTTGTTAATATGTACAGCATAATTTCATTATACCACGAGCAATAGTTAAGTTAGTCGTCATTAATGGCCTCAATACAAAAAAGTGAAAGAGACGGCACTTATACAATAACGGAAAAAGTGATATATGTTCAGCAAAAAACAATTTTACAAAAGTGAAAGTAAATACAATATACACAATAAAAAAAAATATGTCTCAATTTATTTTCGTTTCATTTGACGTTTTTTACTCAAATTATTTGAAATGATATATTTGTTTACTTGCAGGTATCATCGCGTTTTCTTTTTCTTATAACTAAATTTGTAAAAGTTTTATTATGGTTTATGATAGATAACAATAAAAATAAAATTGAAAGTTACTGAAATAACTACCCGAATAATCACTGATTACACTCTTTTATTTTAGCTCTCTTTATTCCACAAGCAATTGGTAAGTAAGTGGTACTTCAATAGCCTTTATAAAAAAAAGTGGAAGAGACGACACACAACACAATAATTTATAGAAATGTTCGATGATTTGAATTGCATCAGCTTTATATCTTTATTCCATGGAATTGACGTTTGACGCTCTAAATCCTCAACCAATCATTAATATATATCACGTGATTATTAATGTAAATAAGTGAATATACGATGATCAGCAACGGTTAATATTTTCAATGGCTACTGATTCAGACAATTATTGAGTCCGATTTGGTATATATTTTGGTATTTGATATATAATATTTCGTACATAAATGATAGTGCATCATAAGCCTCTAAAGGCTGATTGGTATAAATATACAATCATGTTCATTGACTGCATATGTTTAAAGTAATGTATTGTATTTCATGTATATGTTCAAAGTTGTACTTTAAAATAAAAAAAATTATATATCTATCTATACAAGGGATTAATTTAACCCGGAACAATATATATCTGTTGATACGGAAGTAAAAAAAAATAATTCATATGCTTCATTGTCGCATGACAGCAACGTATGCCACTTTAAAACAACTAAAAAAACAAAAAATTATTAACTACAAAGAAAGTAATCAATGTTCGCAGTGCTCGTGCACACAAAACATACACTTATACTTTTAGAAAAAAAAGTGCTAATTCGTCTGAAAAAGTTAGTTGACAATACATCTTGTTAATATTGAGTGTCGTTTTCAATGTATGACAATAAATTGTAAGCAAATGATATACATGCATTATAATAATCACTTGTCTTCATTTCGTTTAAACATAAAATATATTGGCACGAAAGTCAAACTAGTCTAAAACCATCTATGTCAGATGAAGCTTTCCAATAAAGACCCAATGATTAAACTATTAAAGTTAGTCATAATAAAGTACTGCACAATATATCTATAATCAACAGAAAATTTTAAAACTCAATTAATTGTTTTCAATAAAATTTATATTTTAATTAATTTCAGGTTAGATATGAATTATGACAGTGAAAGTGAAATAAGGAACAGAACCATTAGAGACAAGATTATTGATTACTCTTAGTGTTGTCAATTCGAACATATTTGCCTAACCGGTTACTCGGATAATCGTTCGACCGATTAACCGGTTAATCGGTAGTTTAAATTGATGTTTGAAGGTCCTTTCTATGGTACCCTTCAAATGTACGTTTTTGTTATACAATGAGTAGAAGTTTGTCCTTTGGCATTATAAGGCTTGTCTTTGGGGAGTCCTGGCACAGTTTTACTTTTAATAATCCAATACTCCGTGGATTACTATGACGTTTGTAATAACTTCAGACTGAAAAATAAAACCCTTCTTGATCTCGTCGAATTGATAATGATGATGATTCTTTAATTTTTTCTTACGTAATATTTGACCCCAAAAAAATAAATAATGAAGTAAATCGGGAAATTTAATCGGATTACTGATTTCAAATTACTTTTTAAAAACATGTATACTAATTAATCATGTTTACTTAAGATCTTGCCCCGTGATGATACACAAGTTGTCTAAGTTCTAATTAATTTTAATACTTATGTTTTTAAACAATGACCAAAGAAATTGTTCCGTATCATATGGACCACAATGCTGAGGCAGAGGCCTGTGATCTGTTAATGGAAATAGAGAAATTAGATATTCTCAAAAATTATGTTGACGATAATAATCAATATACTAGATAATTGATCTGTCAATTTAATTACCACGACGATAATTTTTAAATTGAACAAAATTATAAATGATTTCAATACATATTTATATCAAATCTACTAAAACTGAAAAAAGAGTCCGGTAAACCGGTTAGCGTTTTTGGTATTCGATATTCGGTCCTTCAGACGGTTAACTGGTTAATCGATTAACCGTTGACAACACTAATTACTATATATGAAAAAAAAAGTGGTATATAATGTATTTGGAACATAACCATCTCTGCTGAAATGGCCAAGAGATATAAAGATGCATTAAGTCAGACATATATTAAAAAGTAATAGGTTAACATTCAAAAAAAGGTAATTCAATATAAATGAGAATATTGTACAAGTAGATCCCTTGCATGCAGAAGATATGAAGATTTTTTCACTCGAGAACATTTATTTTTTTCCAAGGACTTCGCCCGATTAAAATATGAAATTTCGATTTTTGAAAGGGTATTTAAGGGAAATGCATGTTTTATTCCACTGTCTGTACTTTTAACTTCATGAACATTAAATATTAACTCACAAACAAGTATTCGAACCTGCAAGCCTATATTACTTTACACGACATAACCATTGACACACAATACCGATACAAAATGCAGAAATCAATTATCTTTGCAAATTGTACTTCTGTTTTGTTTTGTCTGAAATAATTTTGAAGACAATAATGAAAAGTAAAATCACAAAAATACTGAACTCCGAGGAAAATTCAAAACGGAAAGTCCCTACACAGGCAAATTTCACTCACATCAATTTCACGTGAATTTAAATTCATTTTTTTTTAAAGTTTACGTGAAATTCATGTAAAAAATTTCATGTGAGATTCATGTGCATCTCGATTCACATGAAATTCACATGAACATTTTCACGTGAGTTTCATGTATACGCTCGTTTGAGGTGAATCTCATGTGAAATATTTCACATGAACTTCATGTGAGATATATGTAAAATTCACGTGAGCAAATTTTGCCTGTGTAATCCAATGGCAAAATGAAAGGTCAAACACATCAAAAGAATGGATAACAACTGCCATATTCCTGACTTGGTACAGGCATTTTCTTATGTAGTAAATGGCAGATCGAACCTGGTTTTATAGTTAGCCGAACCTCTCACTTGTATGTAATATACTATTACTATTAAAAACAACAACGTTCAAAGTGTTATTTTTTTGTAAATTTTGGCTGAAATAGGAATTGTAAATTTTAAGGATAAAACATAGTGCTTCATCTTTGGAAGTTTCCATTTTTTCCGAATTGAAGCTTATATTATTTTGCGTAAAGAACTTCGTTCTCTGAAAAAATGCAAAAAAAAAACATGTTTCAAGTTTCTTCCTAAAATAAAAATAAATCGGTTTGATATTTTACAACTCTGTTTTACATTTCTTATAGAATGTTTTGTCACCTTAACTGATTGTTCTGCAATTTAATCGTTACCAACTTCATTCTTGCTGACTTTTATTTACTGTGTTTAATAATAATACAATTTCATAATGACAAACTAATGATATTCAAACACAGTATCATACTACACAGATAAAAAAACGTACATGAAAAGCGTTCGCTTAAATGTAAAGTAAAATAAAAAGTCATGCTTTATATACAAAAGATAACAGTAACTGGTAAAATATTGAACTGTAAAATTGAACACAACATTCATCAAAACTTTACTTCTCCAAAAGAAAAATAGACACACAAACAACTAAAAACAACAGGAAACAGCACATGGTCCAGATACTCTGGCTTGTTATTTATTCATCAACTTCACGTTCCAAATACAGAAGATATCCTTTTCACTGAACAATTCATTGTTTGTTGACTATGTGTACTGGATTTATCCCCATCAACTTGATATGCAGATACCCAATGCATAGGAAAGTCTGTTTTATATCTTGACTTGCTCCCAATGGACGGCAGAGGAAGGGAGACAATTTAATTTCAAGACAAATAACAAAATGATTTCTATGTAGCAACATTTTATAATCGCCTTCATATGGAGTTAATATCTCTCTATTGAAAACATATTCCAGGGATTTCGTTTCCTGTCATTATTTCCTTGTAAGAATAATAGCATTTAAAGGTTCCAAATGGTAAAGGGGTAAATACCAACATGATGACCACTAACTTTAATTAACATAATTTGTAAATTTGTCAAATGTACTCGCTACCACAGGAAGCTATCTCAGATGGCCAAAGCTGTTGTTTAAAATATAAGAAGACAAAAGATCAGAAACAAATAACAGGTGTCTAAAATCTAATTATGATATGTTATTATAATGGACAGTTAGGGGCAAGTATGTATTTAAAGTCAAAAGAATATCGGAAGAAAGAACATCGTTTACTGAATGATTTAGTAGACTATGTAAATTCAGAAATTATTGTTGGGTTTTTATTAATGCAAATATTGCGACTGAGTTAGTATCGCAATAATTAGAACTCGCATTCTGATATCTGAAACATACATCTGTATGCAGATTTCCCTGAAATCACACCATCCAATATCGCATTTGTGTCCATTCTTCAAAAATCGCGATAAAAAATCTACGCAATAATTTCTGAAGCTACGCGCGCATCACTTTGCTTTTGAAAGACGTAAGACAATTCCTGAGATAGAATATATAATTTTTATATATCAATTTTTTAATTGTTTGATTGTTTTAAAATCCTTGGGAAAAATACTGTGTAAGGAGATTTAACACATATTAATTTTGTATGAGAAGCATTATATTATTAGATAATATGCCGATAACGAATGTTTAAAGCATGTTTAAAACACCAGGTTTATATTTAAATCAAATACATTCAGCATATGAACAAACTAGGAAGTAATATCAATAAACTCATTATGAAGGAATCTGCTGTAAATAATGTCAAATATTGTGTCAGAAGAAGTAGCTTTCCTTCAATGCATTTCGAAATTTTTGCCATGAAAAAGGAATCGACAATCAAAGACGCATAGTAAGTACACCTATGAATCTGCTTTGACGATCATATTGTTATAGCGAAAACAAAATATTGTCAAACTAAACTGACAGTAGTTTACTGATGCCCAAATCTTGTAAATCGTAAAAGTTTTAAACATGTCTCCGCAAACCTCAAACATGATTTTGATATCTCCAATTACTTAAACAATATGGTTAACATTTTAAAGGAAAAAATTTAAGAAATGATAATAGACTGATTTGTTTATGTAATAAGTTTACCAAGCTTATAGTTTTATCAGATTTATGTAATGTGTAAGAGTAGTGTAGTATGTATATGAATCTTACATAATAATCGACAGGGTACATAAAACATATTATGGTGAAGCTCCAAAACTTCGCTAGGAGTTTTTAAAATAAAATTAAAATGATAATGATGATGAATTGGTGTTAAACGTCCAATTACAAATTGCACATGCATCTCAGGCCGAGATGGTAATTTAATATGAGGATTAACCCTGCTGTGTACTTTATCGAAACAATTATCTTATTGTTAACTTCTACAAGGTTACCACAGACAACAGGAAAAAAGTTACCAGAACCGCACACATTATCATGAAACCGACTCGACTAGTTTTAGCTCGTACTCCCAAATACGGAGAATGAGTAGCAGATATACATATGTTAATGTATTAAGTTAGACCCAGCTGAGGTATGAACCCACGACCTCCCGCTCTCAAGGTCAGAAAGCTTCCATGAGACAACATAGGCGCAAAAATAATATCATTTGTGTTTTGGAAGACTTCTTTGAAATTGTATTGAAAATGTTTGAAAAAAAACAAGATCTAGATAATTTACAACTTGTTTAAACGTGCCTTTTATTGAGAGAACAGTGAATAAAAAAAAATCAAGAATCGATTGATACAGTTTTCGTGATTGATCGTATGCAATACAGGAACCCACATCTCAATGTTATGGCAAAGAAGTCACATATTGCATGATTCCAGCACCTGAACTGGTGTGATATTTTGCGCCTTTCTAGTATAACAGTATGAAATGAAAACTAATGTCAGAAATTGCAATCAATGCACAGTTTGTTATTTCTGTAGTATTCAACAATAATTATTAAGTTGAATTTTGCCTATTATACTTCTGAGACATCCCGCGTATTTGCCAGATAGCATAGGCTGATATAAAAAAAAACCCTGAATAAATGCATCCGAATCTCATCTAATTGTCTACAAAAAAAAAGCCTTAGTTTACTTAAAATATCATTGAAATGATGAATTTTGCATCACCATAATTGTTTTACTGATCAACTTGATTAGTGGTACTTTACTGTCACCTGAAGAAAAAAGATGGGGACAATTGCAATCCCATATGAATTTTTACTAAACTCATGGTTTTAGGTTGTAAAACGTCTTTCAGAGCAGTTGGACACACTCAAAAATTTAAACCAAAACTGACTAGGATATTTAAAGTTCACGTTTCTAAAGTAGGAAATTGAATTGCATGTCTTTTCTGTTAACAATATAAACTTTTTAGTTAGTTCAATTTGAGTTTTAAGTTTTGCAAATAATATAAGTTGCAATATGACAAATAAGGAGATTGTGTTTATTACATATTGACAAAAAGTAAAATCACAAAAATACTGAACTCCGAGGAAAATTCAAAACAGAAGTTCCATTATCAAATGTCAAAATATTAATTAAAATATATGATTCTCGAAATTGAAAAAATGTAGAAACATATATATGTTAAACAAATGCCTATATTATGCTGACCAGATCATATCTTGTCATACTAACTAAGAAATCTACAAAACTACTCATACATTGAGTTAAACTTTAGGTCAGGCATTTCAAGCCATTGCCCGCTACATAATTTTGGCATCCGCGGTGGTTACTTTCTATAAGTTTCCTTTTTCATTTCCTTATGTTTAAATTATTTGTTATTTTAAGATATTTGATGTGTTTAGTAATTAATTTATTTATTTCTTATTGTTCGGAAGAAAACGTTACTAAAGCCGTGTTAGCATTGACCTAAACTCTGTGTTGTGTTAGTGTAATGCACACGTAAACTAAACACAATTACGTTCCCATTGATAAAACTCAATGTTTACATGTAGTTTGAATCGTGTTTTGTCTACATGCAGTCGATAGTCAATGTAGGCCTTGTGTGGGTTAATTGTTTACAAAACCAGGTACTTAGAACATGAATTTTACAATGTATATTAAAAGAAGAAACGTTTTTTGAATTAAAATTGATCTTTATAAAATTGATATTTACATGTATAAAAATTGATACTAATAAAGTTCTTAACCGAACTATTTGTCTTAACTCGATTTATAGCTTTGATATAAAAAAAAAAAACTTTAGTTAGCTTTATTAACCCGTTTTCAAGACTCAAAGCATCATCATTGCCAAACACATAATTCATTTGAAAATCTCTTGCAGAATCGACTGGACGTACACAGAAACAAGCGCTTTGATAAGCCTATAGCAACAGGACCCTATTCATGCAGAAGCTGTTCAACAGTATGGACTTTGCTTATTATTGAAGGCCGTTAAAGGCCGTTAATTTCTGTGTCATTTGGTCT